AAGGTTATTTGGGTATCTGAAAAATTACATTTTATTTAAAAAAAAAAAAAAAAAAAAAAGCAAAAACAGAACAAAATCTGTAAGGGGAAAAAGACTTTCCCCCCACCCCTAACTGTATTTGAGGTGAAGAATCTGAAATCTAACCACAAAAAGAAAAAAAAAATCACCATGTACTGAGCACTGCTAAATAATTTAGTGTTGATAAAAAACAAAGACTATACCCTTCAAACAGTGTGTCCTTCAATAATTCTAGGATTATCAAGAACAGATGGAGCAGTCCACAGTGGAACCCAGAAAATCTTAATACTGAAGATTTTGGCCACCAAATATGAGATTTAACGGCAAACATGTCTGAATAGCAACAAAAATAAAAAATCACTTGATTAACTCTAATGTCAGCACACAAGAAACTTCAACTGGATGAAATGTTTCTAAATAACTCACAGCAAACTTGTAGCAATAGGCAGTAAATCATGATCGCTTTGTATTTCCACTCTGCCTTCTGTCATGTTTAAGTTTTGGCTCAAAAGCTGTAAGAACTCAAACTCATATTGGCAGATTTATTGAGCCTTGTAAAAGTATTCACACCCTAATGAACTTTTCACAATATGTCACATTACAAGCACCAGCGTCAATCTATTTTTATGTTTTAATTTTATGTGACAGACCAACAAAAACAGGGCATAATTAGGAAGTGAAAGAAATGCAGCATTGTTCTTGATTATCTTGCGTTGTATGCATTCATCCTCCTTTACTCCGATACAGAGTAACCAAATTCTTTCTGAAATGTTGAAATCTCAATCCATCATGAAGACCAAGAAGTGGAGCAGACAGGTTAAAGATTATATTGTGGGGCAGTTTACTGTTATAAACCCAATATCAAAAGATCATGGCACAAGACATGGCCGTCCATCTAAGATGACAGGCTGGATAGGGAGAGCAATAAAACTGTCCCAATAAGCACTTAATCCCATATTAAATTAAAATGAGCTTAATAATCCATTTTATTCATGGTTTGGGTTATGCAAGGTTTTTATTTCTGCTTTATTTATTGTTTTTGGCTGTGTTTTATTTTGGTTTCAGTGTTTCCTGTACAAAAGCAAAGTTTATTAGTCTTTGAAAGAGAACTTGCATCATTATTATGCCATTATCAATATATTACTTGAAAATGGTCTCAAAACAACACTATCATTTATAGCAGTTTCTTTTTTATTATCCAGCAAAATGTCATCATGACAGGCCTAGAGAAAAAGTGACTCTGGAGGAGCAGCAATGATTCACAGCTCAGGTGGAAAACTTAACTATTTGAGGGTGAAAGTAAACCCTAAAAACTGTGTTTAAGGTTTTGCAAAAATGTATAGGATACAGAAATCATGTGGAAAAAGGTGCTCCAGTCATATGAGACCAAAACTGAACTTTATGATCTCCATGCAAAAATGTGTGATAAAATGCTATCACTGCTCCTTATGGTTAAACATGGAGGCAGTAGGGTCAGTAGTCAGTAGGAGGATGAATTGAGCTAAATAGAGAGAAATTCAAATCTTTTGATCTTTGAAAGACTTGAGGATGTGCGAGACGTTCATCTTTCAATGACCACAAACGTATAGCAAGACCTAGCATTGCATGCCTTAGATCAGAGCTTATTTTGTGTTAACCAAAAATAAGCCAACACAAAAATCAGACAGATCTTCAGCTGTTGATCCCCAGTGAGGTACGGTTGAGGTTGTAATGTAACCAATGTGACGATGTTCAGGAAGTGTGAGGGCTTTTAGAAGACAGTAAATGCCTGAGGATCTGTTTGTTCCTTGTAGTAAATAACCAATATTGCAGATAGGTTGGTGTCGTACAATCATTAGTGTTCTTCGATAGCTTTATTATTACGAGGCCTCTTCTGCTTAAGAGTCGTCTTCCCTCTATGCGTCTTCCTGCACCACCATCTCTGTTTCAGTGTCCGACTGCTCCTCTAGCCGAGCGGTCAGGAAGGGGTTGAAGAAGAAGTCGAACCCAAACTGGAGGGCGTTTTGAGCTGTGCGCCTCCAGTCGTGCTCAATCTTGAACTGTTTGCGTTTGGGAACGCGGGCATCCCCGCAGGACACGCAGTGGATGGCCTTCATCTCAAACACGGGCCACTTGGAGCCCAAACGGCCCTCAAGGATGGTGCTGAACTCCACCAGACTGCCGGCGTTCAGGTGTAAAAGCACAGACTTGAACTCATTACTCGCCCGCAAGACTATGTCCTTGGTTGCATCTTCGTCCTCTATGATTGTCCCGTTCTTAGTCTTCCTCTCAAGCGGCATTCCCAGGGTGACCTCAAACTTGTACCGGTCAAAGCGTTTGACGTGGCACTCGTGCTTGGCCAGGGTTTTCAGTTTGCAAAGTGGATCTTCTTGAGGAGGAGCTGGAGCCGGCAGCGGTTGGGGCTCAGCAGCTGTGTTTTGTTTCCCCTCATCACACACCGGATAAGGTTCTCCATACAGACACCGCATCCAGTTTCCTAGAAACACAGGAAACAGGTTGATAGTCGACTGCGGCCCATTCTCGATTTCCGTCACACGGACATATTTAAAGCGTCCCGTCCAGGTGACTCTGTGTCCTTCCAGGTGGGAGCAGAGAATCTGAGTTTGGGCCATGTTGGACTCCTTCCAGGCCAATGGCCCGCAGAGGTTGCTGTATTCAGGCCATGTCAGGGTAGAGTTGTACACCTTCATTCCTTCAGACCTGTAGACATACATCCAGCAGAAAAGCACCACCGCACTCAGCCACACCAGGATGAGCTTGACGATGCTGCTCCGTGACAAAGACCTCAAAACCACGATGGGGTTGAGGCTGAAGCGAGTCCAGAGCCTCAACACCACGGGCACAAAGCAGACAATCAGTGTCACCACCATCTTTGTTACCTCCAGGGTCAGAAACCACTGCACTAACTGGATCATAATCATGGCAGCCAAACCCAGTGTGAGAACAGGCAGGGCAAACAGGAACAGGAAGTAGCCTATACAAGTCCGGATCAATCCTATGGCTGAGGCGTTATTGAGGAATGCCAAGCAAAGCTCACACCAGGTGAAGCAAACCAAGTAGGGCACCAGGCACAGGTAGATTCCCTTGAAGCCTTTCAGCTGGGCCATGCGGAAGAGGAGATAGAAGAGGTGTCCGTACAAAAGCCACGGAATGCCAAGATTTAACACCACGGCATCTCCGAGAGGCACTGTGACGAACGTCTTCCCAAAGATCCGGAAGAGCCAGAAGGAGTCGGGCAGCAGCTGAGTGAGGGAGCATGCTCCCGAAAGGACCTCAGTGAGAAGAGCTTTACGAGCGAAGAGCTGAGCAGAGGCGTGGAGGCTGAGGAAGGCCGTGATGGTGAAGAAAAGAGCGATGGCAGCTAGCTCTGAACAGGGGACCCAGGATTTATCGGCAACAGGGAAGGAGAACACAACGAAGACCACTGAGAGCAGGAAGTACCTGAGAGAAAACGGAAACAAGGGTCAAAATACACATACAGGACTGAATGTACAAATATAATGTCTGAGCAAATGTGCCTCAGCATGTTGAACCCGGACCACAAACTTGTTGAAGCCATCAACAAATTGCTGTCATAATTCAGACTAAATTCAGACACTTTTCTGGACACATTTCGCAGAAATAACTCAACATGTTGGTTGGTACCTTGGCACTGACAAAGACACCAAAGAAGGTGTCATATCATATCATTCAAAAAAAGAATTGGACCTAAAAGTTTGAAACCCAGTTGAAACAACAACAGGGCAAATAAAATGGAGAAAAAAAA